TTTCTCCCTTTGGTGGCACTGGTTACCATGGACACAGAGATGTTACTGCTTTGGGCAGTGCATAGGAAGATTTATCAGGAAAAGGCATCTTTTTATAAGGTGGTAACATTTCCTGTCCACACACTTAACTCTGAGAAAGCAACCTGTTTGTGCAAGATACATGAATAAGCTGCAGGGCTGAAGCCACTGTGCCTAGGACCCAGCATTCCAGCAGCTGGACAATTCAAAGCCAATGGCCTGTGCTCTGATGAAGTATTGATTCTTCTAAGGGTTCAAACTCTAATTTGATTTTTTTTCCTGGATCTCAAGTAGTCACCAGCTAAATGTTTGAATTGCTTCATACCTGAGCTTTCAATAGCCATAAAATATTTTCAGGCTTAGGAGTTTGAAACAGGCTACAAATTCTTGTTTGTGAAGCTATGGTGATTTATATTTTCAGCTGTTTTAATAAGCACATCAATCATGGGCATCAAGTAGCAATATAACACCTACATAATTTAACATCCACCATTCATTACAGTTCTTGCACAACATGGAACATTATATGAGGACATTAAAGTAAATAGACGTAAATAACCCCAATGCTTAAACACACAAATGTTTGAGCCAAATATTAGTCAGCTTTCCAGCACTATGACAAATACTTGAGGTAATTAATTTATAGAGAGAAAAAGTTTATTTTGGCTCACAGTTTAGAGATACAGCTCAGGATCAATGAGTCTCACTGCTTCTGGGCATGAAGTGACCCAGGATAGTGACCAGTAAGCAAAGAAAAAAAAAAAAAGAAGAAAGTATCAGAGTATCCCTGTCCCCTGCAGGGGCATGATCTCAGGGACCTGAGGAGCTCCTACAAAGCCTTCAACACATGAGCCCCTGGGAAGCAGTCCAGACCTAAGCAGTAGAAATCCGGGAGCATAAAGACGGTAAGAACAAAACCCCAAAGTAGAAAAAACTGGTACTAGTAGATGATGCACATTTCTGGTTAGTTATAACAAATTACACTTTCATCCAGAGCCCCCATGCCTTCATAGTTTCAAGGAGAAAAATAAAAATATGTGCTGAAGGATAGGAATTGATGAATGAATACTTGTTTAACTACTAGACAGTGAAGTAACTGCAGGTTAAAGCTGAGTCCATCATATTTCAGGTGGGATAAACGAGAAACACAGTCTTTGCTCATTTCCTCTAGGTCACGGAGCAGCCACGGCTGCCTCATCACAGCCAACTCTGAGGAAGGATGATTTTGCACTTCCTTGAATGCAAGGCTATAAAGCAAGCACCATGAGGTGAGGTAGTCAGATGGCCTGGGAGAGACAGAAGTTAAAGGACCAAGATACTCAGGAGAAAGACAGTACCAGACACTTGAATTTCCTGCTCATTCCTACAAGAAAGGGAAGTGGATGCAATGGTCCTATCTTTTTCTTTGAATCTCAGGAAAGTTGACTTCCATGCCAGCTCCAAGTCTGTAGGACCCTTTTAAGGCTCAGCATGACTTTGATGGCAGTTTTTAGTCCAATAGTAAACACAGGACTTAAATTCCCCTGATCAAAAGAAAGAAAGGCCTTATAGTTTTGACTGTTCAGGATAACTATTTTTGTCTCTGAGATCAATAAATACACAGACGAAATAGCTAGTTGTACACTTCTTCCCACAGAGCAATGAGACTTCAGGTGGACAGAGTGATGGAAAGCACCTATTGTGAACGACCCTGACCAACAACTGGGTTGAATATGGTCCAGCCCTCCCTGCCTTGGGCTGTACACTGTGAAATCTACTTTCCTGCATTGCTTTGGATTGGTCCAAACAGCCTCTTTAGCCACGGAGGAAGCGTTGTCTTGTCCTGTTTAGTGGGTAAAATATTCCTGTTTCCACAATTCAAGGAGCTTTCAGTGGGATAGAAAATCTGAAATATTTCTGTTCTGGTCCTGAGCCTGAGCATCTAGGGAAGGTAGTCCAGGGATAATGCAGTTCATCAAGCAGGACCTTAAGCTCTACAAATCACTCCATATGATATTCTGAGCATGGGAGATGTGCTGAGATTTGGAGTTATTCTCTTTTGGACAAACCTTGTGTTTCCTACTTTATTATGGACTCAGAATGAAAGGCAGGTGGATGCTATGTCAGCTAAGGTGCTTGTGTTTGCTTCCTGTTGAATCATTTACAAAAAAGCACAAGATGAGAAAGAGAAATCACAAAAGTGGTCTGTAAGGGTTGTTCCCAATAAAGACTATGTGATTTTTAACTTTAATTTTCAACTTGCCTGAACTGAGGGAACACCTAGAAAACTGATGAATTACATTTCTGGATGAGTCCATGGGGGATTTTCTAAGAAGACTGGTGTGAGGCTCAGCAACCTGTGCAAAACAGATCTGGCCTGGAAGTGGGTGACATTGTCCAGGAGGCAGGAGCTGCTGGCAAAGAGCTGAAGATGGACGACCTTGCTGTCGTATGTCCTGAGCCCTTCTGCAGTGGGTACAGGATTTCTTGTCAACGCTGATAATGGACTTCATATCCCTCAGCCTTTGAATTCAGACTCATGCCCACACCTCTCCAGGGGAATTGCAGGTTTCAGCTTCAGATCGGAGCCTCACTAGCTGCCACCCTGCTCTGTATTCTTCCAGCTTCACAACTTTAGCTGATCACCTTCTGCATCCTCCATTGCAGACAGGCATTATGTGGTTGCTCAGCCTCTGTGGGAGACAATCTGATACCAGAAGTAAGGCAGCATCACATTCTGTGGGGTACTTGCTGTGACTGTGGCTCAGAACTGAGAACTAACAAAATGGAAGAGGAGCAGAGGGAGGGGACGAGGCAAGGAAGAGCCACATCATGATGGGAAGCTGGCCAACAACGATCTGGTGGCAGGTCTGGGCGGTATCCGATGATTGTGATGATGATGCTCATTCCATTTTTTCACTTGTTTATCTTCTTAGGTGAGTATCAAGGTGGCAGCCCCGTGCTGGGAAATGTGTTTCAGACTGAAGTGAACAACGTTTATCAGTTCCTGCACCCGTGGAATATGTGAGACAGTGTGGAAAACAGAGGAGACAGATGGTATCCACACAGCTACACTCGTACATCCTTGCTGTAAAATCGCACTGATGCAAAGAAAAGAAAAGCGCACAGACACACTAGAGAATCACCAAACTGGAAATGTGTGACCTTTAGGGAATCGGAAGGGCCTCTTTGAGGACGTATTGCTGGCTGGACGTTGGAGAGCACACATGACAGTTTTCCCTCGACCGGATGTTCCCGCTCTAAATGGTATGCAAGCACAAAACTTCTTTTTAATGTTTGGGTAGTTCACACACCAAAAATGTAGCCCAGCAGGCCTTGCATGTTGTTTTGCTCTTTGTAGCTTTCTTGATGGCCAGTGATAGTCTAAAAATATCATTATTTATATTTATTCTTTGCAGAGGAAACATATTTGTATAACTTTCAGTATAAAGTATTCTAATAACTTCTGTTTTATTACCTATTATTACTAAACTCTTGTTATACCTAATTTATTAATAAGACTTTGTTATAAGGCTGTGTATGTAGAGAAAATCAGTGTCTGCATAAGGCTCACTGCTATCCATGGTAGAAAGCAGCCTCAGCATCCTTGAGCTGTAGCTACCCTGAGCAAAGAGGAATGATGATAGATCTTCAGACTTGAGGTACAAAAACTCACATTCACAACAGCTATAAAAATAAAATGCATGCTTCTTCATACAGATGGTTGGATTCTGAGAAGAGACTTGGCTGTCTTTTAAAGACAGAGAGTGTGTGGAAGCCAGCGCATGGCTGTGCTGTTTATCACTGTGGTTTCTGATACCTGCCAAAGCAAAGCATTGCAAGAGAACTGAAGCAAAGTTCCTTTCTTGTTTTTCCTTCATGGTTCACTTAGCAGAGACAAAATCTTTAGTGTCCCCTTTCCTAATAGGGTCATGAAAGACTTGGAAAAGCGGAAAAGGCTGAAGCCAGTCCCTCTAGCTGCAGATGAACTTCACTGATTCCAGAAAAAAATTCACAGAATATGGTCCCCCCAAAATTTCCTGAATAATATCCACAGAGACTGTGGTGCTGTCTGTTCACAGAGGCACAACAGCTGTTTAAATGAAAACATCAACAGCATCATCCAGAATGCCAATGCATATATTCACAAAATAGAGGCAATGTTAAACATGTATTTATTAGAAATGTTTGAGGATTACAAAATGCCCAGCATGCCATGCATAAAAATGTTTCATAATTGTTATCTTGTTACTAGTATTAAAAGGATTTATTTTAAAATTTTTTGTTGCTGGACTTCTAGGTGATTTCCAATAATTTAATCCTTTACACAACCCTGATGTCATATCTATGTATGGATCTTTCTAAACAAACTCATGTATTTAACACAGATATATAGATCAAATAAATTTTTTCATATTTCTAAGTATAAAAAACCTGCTATTTGCTATGAATCACAGAAGCAGACAACATGAAAATCCCCTACTTTATTTTGGCTTCTAGAAGTTCCTGTTATAGAAGTTACACGTCATCGTTTATTTTTAACAAGACACTGACCCACAAAGGTGTAACCTGCCATGACTGGCCAAGACCTTGTTCCCCAATTTTTAGATGATGATAACTGTCAAAAGTATTAAATCAATATGACAGAAATGAGTCAGGGTTAGGGCCGTTTCATGTCAACACACACGTAATCATAAGTAAGGTTTTAGTTTATGGATGGTTGGTGGAGAACTTAGATATAGAGAAATGAGCAAAGAGAAGCTGAGGACATGGAGGGTGTGACTCAGGGCCAACAGGATGGCCGAGACAGAGCAGGAAGAAGGCAGAAGGACCTAGGCATCCCTCGGGCAGGAGAGTGAGCCGGCCTTCCCTGCACAAGGGCCAGCAGAAGCATGGCATGCTGGCAGGCAGGGAGAGTGCCAGGCCTGCAGTAGGCTGCACCTCCGCTGACTACCACTAGACAGACATAACACAGGTCAGTAAATTACGGGCGGATTCCCCACCTCTACAGCGAGATGTGGCTCCTGCTGACTCTTCTAGATGTGACTCCAAGTGCCTGGCAGCTCAGGGTCCACAGGGCCCTGAGGCTGGACAGCCTCCAAAGTGGCCGCTCTGGGCAGGCGCAAACAGCGAAATTTGCGCAGGCGCAGATAGCGCCGAGTGTGGCTGGAGGCGGAGTCTCAAAGCCTGACCTTTCTGGGCGGGGCCGAGTGGGCTTTCTCACGCAGGCGTACTCTGCAGTTTGAGCAATGGCCGTGCGCAGGCGCAGACGCGGTATTCAGGACCATGGAGAGCGACTAGCAGAACAGGCCAGAAACCCGCGTAGCTCTGTCTGGAGCTGCTGGGAAGGGGAGCTTAATGGGTCGCAGGTGTTTCCAAAATGAGTTTAAAAGCTACGTATTTGTTTCTTTCATACATGTGAAAAGGAATCTTCCTTCAGTGTATGACATTCCAGGGAACAAGGAATTTTTTAATAAAACAGTTAAAATCGTCACTATTGAACTCTCCTGATAAGGGAGGAGAGATGAGATAACATAAGTAACCGTCTGCTCCGCTCATTCCGTCCATGTTTCATTTCTCAGTAATTCCTGCCCGAGGTCGAGTTTACAGTCTCCTGCTTGCTAGTCCACCAATAAGGAAAAAAAAAAAAAAAAAAAAAAAAGGAAAGAAAGAGAAAGAAAGAAAGAAAGAAAGAAAGAAAATATATTGCTTGTAAATCAGAACTACCAGTTCCCATCACAGAAAACCCTTTCATTTCCAGTCAGCAGAGATTTCTCGACAGCTGTGAGCTTGTTCAGGACTCCCAAAGTGACAAGTGCGTCTTGATTGTTTTTATTGCCTTTAAATTGCATGAAGGTTCCTAAAGTGAAGCTTCATCCAGTTTTAGTTTCTTACAAAATAATTTCTAGCTTAAACTATTTAGTAATTCAGACTTTCAGAGAAATCTGAATGAGCCATGCCATGCTTCAGGTAACCTTCAAGTCTGCGAGTGGGGTCCTGTGAAGGACAGTGTTCCTTGACTGGACAGGCCAGAGAAAGGAGAAAATAGATCAGTGCACAATTTCCTTTCAGATAGAGGTGTCTCACTGCAAAATGTACAGAAAATTAAGGTATAGCATAGAACATCTGTGGAGGGGTTGTGTCATTACGCATACGTGGTTTTTGTCTCACTGCTGTATGTGCTTCTTTGATGTCAGCTAAAGGGCTGCTTTCAGCATGGTACTCATAGACAGTCGACTTGGACATCATAAAATAAAGTAAAGGAATGGACCATACTGTGAAGTCTCCTATAGCTTCAGTCCAGAAATAGTAAACACCTCTGCACACATTTCACTGGGCAAAACAAGTTACAAAGCCATTTGAATTTTTTTTTATTTAAAAAAAAAAGATTAAGATAAAACAGGGCATAAAAACACAGGTCAGAGCAGAACAATTTAAGCAACATAGTGTTTTACCACAAGACAGTCTGACATAACAGCAGCTACCACAGTGTCTCTTTCCTTGAAATATTTGAGTACACCTTAACATACTGTAGTATCAAATATAAAAAGTGTAAAACCATTCAAGAGAATGAAAGTATTGCAGCGTATTCAGAACCAACTAACAGAAAATGAACAATGGCTGTGAATTCCAGGGAAAAATAAAATGTAGAAAAAATGTGGGGTTAGAAAGTAAAGTCAGTGTCCTCAACCTTGATAAATGATGTTCATATTTTTGCCATTTACATGTAATTACAGAATACTCTCCTGTAGAAGCTTCTTTCGTCTGCGAATATTTTCAAGTAAATATTTTTCTGAGTAATGAGTGTAGAAATAAAATAGCAGTGACATACAAAGTTGTCACTTGTGAAGTGGATAGAACAGTGAAATTTTTCTTTAATTATAAGCTAGGATTTTAAGCTAGGCATCAAACAGCTATGCCAGGTTATAAAATGAATCACATAACCAGTTCTGAAATTAAAGATAAGAAAAATTTGCAAATATGCTAATTTTGTTTATAACAGAAAAATTTTGTGTTTCTTTCCTCTTTTTCTCATTGCGTAAAACCACATCGATTCTAAAATGTGGTTGGTGTGTAAATGGTATTCAGAGCCCTAAATCTATGTCTGTATGCACAAATACCTGTGCACTGTTACAGAATAATAGGGCTTAGTTTACAATAGGTAATAATTACAGAATCACCCGCACTCATTTAGTGAATTATGGAAATGGAGGAATAGAAAGAAGAAAATAAAGATCGCTTGTACTCATATTATAAATAAGACCAAACTAAAGTTTTACATATTTAAACTCTCATTTTTAACTCAGTTTTTAAAATTTATAACTAACAATGTGTGTAGGTGTATAAATAATGTGATATGCTGACACATTATTGCTTAGAAACTGAACTAAGGTATCCTGCTTCTGAGTTCCCTATGTCATAGTCATTTCCATGTTAGTAAAAAATTTTTTTATATTTATTTTTTAAACTCTGGGGCTTGAACCCAGAATCTTCCTACCAAGCCATATTCCCAGATCATTATATATTTTTATTTTAAGATATGCCCTTGTTACATAAGATGCCCAGGCTGGGTCAAATCTTGTGATCTTCTTGCCTCAGCCTTCCAGAGTGTTGGGAGTACAGGAATGCAGCAGCACACCTGGATTCATTAAGCTTTTTAAAAAAATGACCCAAGTGGCATTAAAATGAATTTTCCTACGTCTCTATTTTTGAGCACTAGATTATTAGAATCTGCTTTCTGAGGTCCTCCTTCTGTGTGTGCATGGTGAGATGCCACTGACTCTCAGGTCCTGTACTTTAATAGCCACTTCAGACACTTGGTGACACAAGTATTTACTGATTCCCACATAAGTGCAAGCATCTGCTAGGATTTTCCCACACATGACTTCATCCGTGCAGATACTATGTTACCTCCATTTTATGAGCCAGGAACCCAGTCTTCATTTGTCCCAGATCAGAGATTTATTCCATGAAATTCAGTGGAGGATTATGAATGCAGGCAGTCTGAAAGGCAGTCTGAGAGACCTCCAAGGCACTGTGAAAACTATGATCTTTCTGAATGGTGACACCCTTACTACTCAGTCAACTCCTGATTCAATTGGTTACAAACCAGATGCTCTGTACTTTGCAGGACGATGCAGGAGAAGTGCATTGCCTTCTCCAACTCAGGTTCCTAATGACCATTCTGAATAAAGATCCTGTTAAGGTATTTACAGATTAAATTATGAACAATGTCAGTAACAAATCTCTCAATTTCCCTTTGAAACACACAAACTTTCTCAAATATCACAAAGAACATGCATTAAAAGGACATGAGTGTCTCCTCTCTCAGTTCCCACAAACAGCAGTTATGGACATTGTCACTACAATCACACAAAAGGGGAGTTGACTGAAGATAAGTGGCACTATCTGAGCCCATCAGAGAACCAAGGTCACTGGATACAGCTGCTACCTGTAATCTAAAGAGAAAGTCACATTCAGGGTGCTGTTAAGATCTGGTTATTAGAGCCATTATTGCTAGAACCATAATCTATAAGAATCCTTCAAAGGCAAGTTTGACACATTACTGGAGGGTACATGGGGCCTGGCAGGAGAGAAAGAGGCCTGTGTCTGCAGTCTTGGACGTCTCTATGCTCTCATGGGTTCTACCAGCAGGATCCCACCACGTTGACACAGGGAAGTTCACAAAAGACCCCTCCAGTCTCTGGGTGAGTGGGGTGGCTGGAAGGATGACCAAGGTAAAGTACATGCGGGCTATGGACATCGTCCAGAAAAAAATGTCTTTCCCAGACCTTCTCTCCATTCCGCTGCAGTCCTCTTCTCTCACCTAAAGAAACAGAGAAAAAGGCTACATGTGAAGATCACAACCCAGGCAGATATATCCAGGGAAAGACTCACTCTCCTGTGACTTCCCAACTCCTTTATGGGCTCCACTGGGACTGCAGATGGTGGCAGAGTGGCCTGCACAGTAGGCTTTCTCAGAGTAAGGGACATGTAGGGAAGCCCTACCAAGGCAGGAGACAAAACCAAAGGCAGTTGAGAAATCTGAAGTCCCAGAAGCTACAGCTACAAGACAGGATCTTAGCAGTTCATGCCTACCCAGATCCATATAAAACCTCATGCAAAGCACCAGTGTACCCATTTCCTGTTACTCCGCTCACCACGCCTATGTGACAACAAAACAGCAAATTGTAAAGTACATTAAAACTGAAGGAAGTTGAAGAGACACAAAGTGGAGAACAAGAAACATCAAATGTGAAGGAAAAAAATGATGGCAGCTTATAGGTAAGTAATGTAAGAAGGCTGGAATGTCAGCGTGGAAGTGGATCACACTGCAGACACCGATGCCCACATGGGAAGGCAGCACAGGCAAAAATCAGATGTGCCAGTGTGGGTTAAGATGCAAAACACATCCTTGCTTTGTAGCCTCAGAGGACTTAGGACCCCCTTTCCCATAAAAATGATCACATCAGCCACTCAGATCTTCATTTCTAACATCATTTACTAATGAACTAAAGAAGGTTCTTCAGAGAAGTGTCTGACACATAAGATGATCCCAAAGCATACTGTATACAAGAAAGCAAGAAAGGCCTTTTAAAGACTACAGGTGTAATAGATCACAGTGACACTCAGACTACATAAAAGTTTCCCCTGGGTCAGTCCCAGAATCACGTGAGCCAAAAATATGTAAAATGTTTTTACATAGTAACTAAAATACACAATAAAATCTACACTGACATAATTGATTGAATAAATACTAAGTATGGAAGAAGAGACAAGCTTTCTACATAGGAAGCTCTTGTAGCTTCTGATCCCTGAGTCTGGACCTGTGCAGGGGGTTTTCCTCAAAGAGTGGAGTACAGGGTTTAACTTTAGAGTAGGGGCCGATCTGAAGCCCAGTGGTTAGATGCAAATCCAACAGTGATGGGATGTCATGTCGGTGACAGAGACCCGGATGGGTACGATGGAGACAATGCTTCACCTTTGCAATCTTTCTCTCCCTGGTGTCTGGTCTGTGCACAAGCAAAACTATAAACAAATCCCAGCTGGGGTGCATCCTGCAGAGTCCCTGCCAAGCTCTCCCATCAAGGTCATCAAAACAAGGAAGTCCAAGGAACCAGCACGGCCACAGAGCCCACGGAGACTGGTGCTACAGAGAGTGTGGAACAGG